TATGTAAATCAACACCGCCTCCTCAAGCTCTGTAAAACCAAGCACATCTCACCCCAAACCCGGAAACCCGCCGGGTCCCCCTTCCTTTGCACGAGGAACAGCTCTTCTTTCTTTCGCCTATCAAACTTTCTGCTCTTAAACCTACTCCTTGTGTGCCTTTGATTTCCTTAGCAGGTGACAACAGACCCCGGGGATTTCCCCAGACGCTGCTTCACTGGGACTGACCTACACGAGTGTCTCGTTCTTGGTTCTCCGAGAGGAGAGCCCAGTGCAAACACTTATATGGGAGCAGTGCTTTAGAGTGTGAGTCCAGGGGGCCAAAGTGGGGGACGGGGGCAACAGACACAGAAGTGGGGAAGCCGCAATGCAGGGAAATGCTACTGTGTTGCAACCACGATGGCTGGAGGGAGAAAAGCGGGTGTTTGTCCACTGGATCCTGCACTGCATGGGCATGAGTCCCTTATGTTTCTGGGTGCTTACGCCTGAGGCTGCAGGGCTTCCCTGGGCCTCCCATCTGCTGAGTCCGAGAGCCCAGGGTGGAGCACGCTCTGGCTTCTGAGGGCATCACCGTCAGGATCAAAGCTGTGGAAGCCAGTGTGGAGCTGATCATCCTCCTGGTAGGTGGATAAGAAGCAGGGCAGAGAAGATTTAAAGAGGTGAACGAGAGGCGCCCCGTACACAGGCCCTCTTGATGATGTTGTTGACTCTCTGCAGCCTCAGCCCCTGCCACTTTTCCTCCTTGTGCCTACTCTTCATTGAACATATAATTAATTGCGGTTTCTCAAATCTGTGTCATTGACCAGGACTCTTAATCACCAGGGACAGAAACCAAGCTCAAACTTGCTTGAGTCTAACAAATTTCTCGGTGCCTGTCAGGGAATGCTGGCTTTAGGTCTTGTAGGATCCAAGGCCTCAGCTGACAGCATCCGGTTTTCTCTTGCCCCTCTCCAAGGCTAGGACGCTCGAGTCTCTCTGTTTGCTTGTTATCTTCAGCTCTGTGTAATTATTTTCTTTGTTGTGGGGAAAATGGGCATCACCAGCCCTGACCGAAGACCGTTCTGGATTAGCAGTGGGGGAGGGAGCCTTTTCTCTCCCATGGTCAGTCTATTGATCTCCGGGAAGACACTGATTGGTTTTGAGTGGGTCACGTGTACACCTTTGGGCCAATCACAGTGCCTGTGGTATGGAAGCGCTACAGGCGTTCCCACTGGGTCACGAGTGCCCCGCCACACCTGCAGCTTCTGACAGCCCCGTCTGAGCTCACAGGTCAGCGGAGGAAACGCCCTTCCAAAGGAAAGCTGGTGGGAGCCGGAGGGGAGGCTGGGCCGGTAGAAACAACACGCGTCCACGATCCACGGCACGCTGCGTCGGAGCTTTAGTCCATTCCATGGCTTCTTTCCAGTATGTCCCATCCTTTAACCCCTCAGAGAAAGAATCCCTGAACTCCTTGACGTGACTTCCTCAGTGAATTCACCCCCAGGCTTCTAACACCGTTCATTTCCACGTACGTTGCGTGCTGCACGCCCCTCCTAGCGCCCTGCTTAAGCATTACTGCTCCGCCTTGCTCATCTCCACAGGAGCAAACGTGATGGACACACAGCTCTTGCTGCCTCTCACAGATATGCCGGCGTGTGGGAGGATCTGAGCTGGAGGGAGGCGCACCTTGGAGTGCTGTGAATCAGGCATCAGGGACTCCTGTGCTCACAGCGTGTCCAGCTCTCCCTCAGCATTTCGGCCACGCCACAGAATTCTTTGTTCAGGCCCAACCTGTCCTCCTGGGACGTCTGAGCTGCTCAGCACCAGGAAACACCCTCTGTCGTGCACAGGCCATCAGCTTTGCAAATGATCCAGTTACATTCCCATGGGCAGCTGGCGTCACACTTTTTGTCCCTGTACAATTTTGAGTGGAGCCTAATCACAGTGTAAAGTCTCTTTCTTTCTTTTTTTTTTTTTTGGGAGAGGATCTGCTCTTCGCCCAGCTGGAGTGCAGTTGGCGCGATCTTGGGCCCTGGCAAGTTCCCCCTTCCGGGTTCACACCATTCTCCTGCCTCGGCCTCAGGTCACTGCGACCAACGGCGGGCCCCGCGCCCAGTTGGTAATTTTTTTGTATTTTGTAGAGCGGGTTTCCACCCGTGTTGCAAGGTGGTTCTCGTCTTCTGACCTTGTGATTCAGCCGGGCCCTGGCTCCCCAAGTTTGGCTGGTTACAGGCTGGAGGCACCACGCCCGCCAGGGTCTTCATTTTTATGTTTATTGACTCCCTGGCCAGTGACCCAGTGAAGTCTGGATTTTTATCAAGTGTACCCATGTTTGCAATTTCCTTAAGTAAAGTAATGGCATTGTGGCCAACCTAATTGACTTGGGATGTTTGATGTGGAGGCTGCCTGCGGGCATCCCCACCAGCATAGATCGATAGAAAACAACATTGGGGCCGAGGTGGCTGTGGCTCACCCCGCATCCCAGCACTTGGGGCTTGCGGCGGGTAGATTTCAGGGTCAGGGTTTGGGGTCCAGCGTGGGCAACATGCGTGGAACTCTCTCTTTACTCAATACAAGAAATTAGCGGCGTGGGGGCTGGTGCCTGTCAGTCTGCTATTCAGGGAGGCTGAGGCGGGATGCCTTGACCCTGGGAGGCCAAGAGGGGTTGGCAGTGAGCGGTCGCGGGCCCACGCACTTCCATGGCCTGGGCGACGAATGAGACTCAATCTCAAAATAATAGAAATAAAAAATCAACTATCCTGGGTTCCTTCAAGGGGAATTCCAGCCACCTGGCTTGGCCTGAGAATATATGAACAACTTGAGAAGCAAGAAGGTATGGTAGCGTGAAACAATAGTCGGAGAGGTTGGAGTCAGGAATTCATTGCTTCCTGTAGAAACTAAGATAACATCGTACACAAGTCCCAGAGTTGTTTTTTCAGAAGCTGGACCCCCACAAATGGATCTGTTGACTTCAGACTCAGATATGGCGAGTGGAGAGGCTTGACTCCCACACATTCTATGTTCTTTTTTTTTTTTTTTTGAGACAGAGTCTCGCTCTGTTGCCCAGGCTGGAGTGCAGTGGCTCAATCTCAGCTCACTGCAACCTCCATCCACCTCCTGGGTTCAACCGATTCTCCTGCCTCAGCCTCCCAAGTAGCCTCCCGAGTACAGGCATGTACCACCACACCCAGCTAATTTTTGTATTTTTAGCAGAGAGGGGGTTTTGCCATATTGGCCAGGTTGGTCTTGAACCCCTGACCTCAGGTGATCCACCTGCCTCAGCCTCCCAAAGTGTTGGGATCCACCCCTCCGGGCCCACCACTGTTCTTTGTTCTAACTTTCTTCCTGAGGGGCCTGGAGGAGGTCATGCCCACAGGCCAGAGCTAACATTCTTTTTTGCTGATGTCGAATTTTTGGACAAAGGCTTGTCTTCTTGACCAATCACAAATCAGAAAATCTATACTCCCACTATACGACCTGTGGGCCCCCACTTCAAGCTGTCCTGGCTTTTTAGGTCAAACCAATGTGTGGCCTCCAGGTATTATTCATGTGGGACTTAGCCTGTAACCGCTGCCTCTCGCGCCCTCCTCTAAGTGCCTCACTCCCTCTCGCTGCAATCCCCACGTGCATGTTTGGCGGTGCTGCGGGAAGGCAGAGCCACGCTGGGTTCAGTGATAAAGGCTGAGTACCCACCAAGTACCAAGCCCTGTCCTCAGGGCTGGGGCGCAGAGTGAACAAGCAGAAAGAAGTTATCTGCCCTCATGGGGCCTATGCCTCAGTGGGGAGAGACTGACAGTAAGTGAAATAAACGTCTAAGATATGAAGTACATTGGATCGTGGTTAGTGGGATTGAAAAAATACAGCAGGGGCGAGCTTTAGGGATAGGGAGACCTGCTGTCAAGGTGATGTTTGGAACCAAACACCCCGATGTTTGGGTGATGGGATGAGACGCACAGAGGCATCAGAGGTGCTTGGTTCCAGGCCCATGGACCACTCAAGGCCCTGTCTCAAATCTCCAGGCTTTAAGACACGCTGCTTTACATAGAGGTGGGTTCTCCTTCTGGGCCTCTGAACAAGGTATGAGACAGGACGCAGGCAAATAGCATGAGGCAGGAGGCACTCACTCGACTGTAGTCCAGGATGGACAGCCAGAGTGAGTCTGCGGATGAATGCAGACGCCTGCAGGGCAAGCTCTGCTGAATTGGTTTTCTATCTAGTTTTTATTACAGCCATTGAATTGGGGTGTCTCCCGTTATCTGATGACAATTTTATGATTGAAAGAAACCATGCTGGCTTTGTTTGTTCATGGAGATGGGAAAGGTCCACATATTCAGCAATCTGTTGAATTCTTCCAGGTTAAAACTGGGGCTGAGAAAAATCTGCAACTGCCTGTCCCTCCCTTCACCTCTTCCAGCTAGAGGCAGTGGGGGACTGGAGAGCTGATGAAACGGCAGAGATAAAGGTTGTAAATTAGTTTTCCCTGAAGCCAACCAGCCTGAGCAACAGGATAAAGGTCGTTATTACAGACAGCCCTGGGCCTTTGGAGTTCACAGTTTCTCTAGTGCTAGGAGATGGAACTCTCTGGAAACCTTCTGCAGTTCCACAGAGAGGCTCAGGCTATCAGAGGATCTGAGTGGTTATAGGCTGCAGGCACAAGTTAAAAATAATCACCTAACGTTTTGACAGCACTTTCTTTTTTTCTATCCCACAGAGATTGGAAGTCATTTTCTTATCCTCTTTAGGAAGTATGTTGGATTCAGGGTTCTTAATTCCCATTTAAAGTCAGGACAATTGAGATAACTGTATCAGCTAACGTTTACTGGGTGTTATGTTATACTTGCTAATAATAATCATAGCTAACATTTACTGAGTGATAATTTTTCTTAATAAAAAATAGCAGCATTTATTGAGTGCCACATATTTTCCAAGTACTGCCTGAAGAGCCTTGGATCTGTCCTCTAATTTATTGTTACAGCCCCGAGGAGGAGGAACTGTTAACCCTCATTTTGCGGATGAGGAATTTGAAAACAGAGACATTAAGTAGTTTGCCTAGAAACACAGCTAGTGAATGCGGGAGAAACTATGAACGGTAAGTATTACTTAAATCACATAGCAAATATAGCTGTGATTGCAATTATAGGGTGTGTGTCTCTGTGTGTACACGTGTATTTGGAATAGATCGGATAAACTTTGGTCTTGGGTAAACTGAGGCATGTCTGGCGAAGGGGCTCTTTTCTACCACACTGAGAACATCCTCCTGGTGCTGGGGTGGGGGGATATGCGGTATGGTATAATTGGGCAGCGTACCTTGTAATTAATTCTGTAGCTTTCACTGACGTCTGAAAGGATTAAAGAGAAAAATGTGGTAAACACTTAATATGGAGGGCACAGTGGGTGTGCTGGTTTTTCTTTTCCATCCCTCTATCAACTTCATTCTTTCTCGGAGGCAAACAAGACTCAGATCTAAACAGAGTTTATGGTTTGTTTTGCATTTTGTATTTATTAATATTTATGCTGACTTCGAGGGTGCCGACCAGAAGGCATCAGTAACACACACACAGCCCATGTCTGTCTGGTTTGATTCTGAGCCTGAGATCCTGAAAATATTTCAGTTGTTGTTAAGAGGCTGGAGTTAGGACCCAGGAAGGACACAGCAGTGGGGATATAAATAGAGAAGGAGAACAGAACAAGGTTTGAGGAGAGAGACTTACATCACTCACTCCCTCTCCACCCAGAGAGAGGGACGGAGGTGTGAACTTGAGCCAGACCAGAAGGAGCTCCAGAGCGGCCGCAGGACGAGTCCGAGGAGCAGGCGGGCGCTCCAGGGAAAAACCACGCACAAAACCTTCTTCAGAGAAAAGGGAAGCACCAAACCTGACCGAGACAAACGGAGGCTTTTGAAATAAAAAGAAAACACCGCAGGACAAACAGCCTCCCGTCCCCGGGTGCAGGTCGCCGTCACAGTGGTGACCTGGGATTGCTTTCCCAGGACTGTGGGTCGGATTTGGGTTTCTCCTCCCTGCATTCCACAGCTGCTCTGGTCATCGCAACGTGTTTATTGATCACTGAAGAATCTCAAGTTTTGAGACAAGGAAGAAACACCCATTAGGTCTCCAAAACAGCTGCGTTTCACAAACTTTAAGGAGACAGAACTTTTTTTTTTCTCCCTGGAACCTGTGAAAATGTCCCTTTTCCAAGGAAGCGAAGGTTAAGAGGTCCCGTTCTCACAGACCCGCAGGAATTTCACTTGGCTCCGAGCTTTGACCTCCCGGAAAGCCATGGCAAAGCTGCTGCGGCTGTGCTGCTGGTGCTCCCGCCTGCTGCTATTTTGTTACAACTTTCAGGTAATGTCCCCAAGTGGCCAGGATGGAGACGGGCTCGGTTTCTCCGGAGGCTTTCCCCGAGCGTCTCTCACACTGTGGTCTTTTGTGTGCAGGTGCGTGGCGTCTACTCCAGATCGCAGGACCATCCAGGTAAGACTGTTTCCTTCTCACGCTGAGCACCGCCCTCCCCTCCCTGCCTAGTGTGGTATCCCAGGAACAGCCCACTTGTTCATCTCTGAGGCCTCAGCGAATGGCCCTTGCTGGGCTCCTGGTCCTCGACCTCACTGCCCCACCACACACTCTGACCTTGGGCAGCTCCGCTACCCCTCACCGGCCGAGTGGTGGACGGAGAAGCGGTTCTGGGCCCCTTGAGCTGGGTCATATGAAACGTTGTGATTCAGGAAATAGGATCTCCTCCACTTGAATGCCTTGTCTGTCCCTTCCTTCCTTCCTTTCTTCCTTCCTTCCTTCCTTCCTTTCTTTCTCTCTCTCTCTCTTTCTTCCTTCCTTCCTTCCTTTTTTTTTTCTAGATGGAGTCTTGCTCTGTTGCCCCGGCTGGAGTGGCCCAAACCTCTGCCTCCCAGGTTCAAGCAATTCTCCTGCCTGAGCCTCCCGAGTAGCTTGGATCACAGGTGTGCACCACCACGCCCAGCTAATTTTTGTATTTTTAGTAGAGATGGGATTTCACCATGTTGGCCAGGCTAGTCTCGAACTCCTGATTTCAGGTGATCCACCCGTTTTGGCCTCCCAGAGTGCTGGGATTACAGACGTGAGCCACCACGCCCATCACATGTCTTCAGGGCAGTTTCACTGGGGGGCACTTGGAGCTCTGGCCCATAGCAGGGTCTTGGGACCTCCAGCCTCAGAGTGCTGACCAGCTTAGCCTGGAGCAGCCCATGAGTGGGACTCAAGACAGAGGGCCACCCTTGCTCTGGCCCCAGAGCCACATTCCTTTGGCCATTGTGACACCAGCCAGGAAGCATCAGGATGGGGCTTCTCCCAGGAGCACAGGGAGGCACACGCCCTTTGCTGTTGAGAGTGTGGGCGCACGTTCCGGTCAGCCAGGGGCAGGGATGGGAAGACGAGGCTTTCTGGGAGTGGCGGGCAGTCACGGGGCGGTTGCTTCCTGCTGGAGGTTGCAGGAGATGGGGAGAAGACCCTCTAGTGCCTGAACCCCTGCTGGGAAGCCTGTTGTGAGCACAGCCGCCGCCCCAGCCCCACCAGAGCTTGGCTGGGCACCTCCCTGAGCACTATTGTATGGCCCTGCCGGTCTCTAATGGGAAACCAGCCTTTTTAAAAAAGATTATTTTTATTTTTATTTTTTCAGACAAAATCTCACTCGGTCACCCAGGCTGGCGTTGAGTGGTGAGATCTCAGTCTCAGCTCACTGCTACCTCTGCCTCCCGGGTTCAAGCAATTCTTGTGCCTCAGCCTCCCAACCAGCTGGGATTACAGGCCCGTGCCACCATGCCCGGCTAATTTTTGTATTTTTAGTAGACACAAGTTTTTGCCATGTTGGCCAGGCTGGTCTTGAACTTCCAACCTCGGGTGATCCCACCACCTCGGCCTCCTAAAGTGTTGGGATGACAGATGTGAGCCACTGCACCTGGCTGGGAACCAGCCTTGAACGATCAGACAGAAATGGGCTCAGGCCAGCCCTGCGGGCAGATCCCAGGGCGATGTCCAGGCCTCCAGGGAGAGCCCCTTTCCTGGGTGGAACACCAGGAGCCTGCTGGGGTCTAGGGCCAGGGGCTGAGCCTGCTGGGGTCTAGGGCCAGGGGCTGAGCCTGCTGGGGTCTAGGGCCAGGGGCTGAGCCTGCTGGGGTCTAGGGCCACGGGCTGAGCCTGCTGGGGTCTAGGGCCACGGGCTGTGCCTGCTGGGGTCTAGGGCCAGGGGCTGAGCCTGCTGGGGTCTAGGGCCAGGGGCTGAGCCTGCTGGGGTCTAGGGCCACGGGCTGTGCCCTCAGCCTCTGTCTCCTCTCCGGCTGCCCGGCAGCCCCAAGCCAGGATGTTCAGGCATCGTCACCTCACCACCACCTCCATCCACCAACGCGGGGGTGGGGACGCTGCCACTTCTCTTTCGTCCACATGCGTAAGGAGCTCCTTTTAAAAAGGTGTGGAAGCTGTGCGTTTCCACTCGTTCCCCTCTCCTCAGCCAACTCACTGAATGAAAGAAACAAGGGCTCCTGTGGCTCGGGAATGAACAAACACACGCAGCGCTGCGTTAAAGAGAGGATGTGTCTGCCTTGGACACCTTGCTTCTCATGAATGCAGGCCTCCTGGCTTGGGCTGGGCTCTCCCAGTACGGGAGAGGACTGAGAGAAGGGGACAGGTGGTCCCTCGAACTGCAGGGCGGTCAGGCAGAGCTGCGCACCCGGGTCCTGCAGCAGGCAGGTGGTCCCTGAGGCCCCAGCATGGCTCTTGCTGCTGCTCAGTGTTGAGGAAAGCTGTGCGGATACTCCCCAGACTTCTGCTTATGATACAGAGCCCACACACATCCTCACACATGCACATGTGTCCACATGCCCCATGCCACATGTCTACATGTGTCAACATATGCCCACATACACCAACACAACTCACACACATCCACACATGTTGACACATATGCATACACACGCACATACCCAGATATCTACATGTGTCAACATATGGCCACATGTCCACACACATCACTCACATCCACACACATCAGATATGTTGACACACATGCATACACATGCAAAAGCATCCACACATCTACATGCATCATGTGTCCACTTGCATCCACACATGAGCGTCCACACACTTCACATGTGTAGACACACATGCACAATATACACATCCATGCACACACCCACACCCACATGTGCCAATGCTTGTTGACATGCATCAACACACATGTATTTACGCACGTTCACACACGTCCACACATATCCACATGTCTACACACATGACCACACACATTCACAGACCACACACATCCACATGCGTCTACACACATCCATACATTTCTACACACATGCATACATACACATGTGCATGCTTTTACACAAGTCCATGTGTCTGCACACATCTGCACATGCTCGCACATGTCCACACACATGCACATATATACACACATACCCACACATGTACACCCCACACACATGTCCACACACACTCATACGTATGCACGTGTCCACACACGTCTTCACATACTCACACATGTGCACACACATGCACACGCATGCACCCTCACACATTCACACACATCCACACACGTGCACACACATTTACACAGCTCACACATCCACACATGCACACCTATGTATACACATGTACACACACATGCACTTGCATTCTTGACTCTAAACTTGAAGGAGCAGTTTGAACTCAGTCTTTGTTGCATATAGGACCTTTGTTCTTCCAACTCTGGATTTAGGGTAGAAATCAGTGTTTCCTGAACAAGGTGCCGTCTAAGAGAAACAATGGCCGTGCTGCTGATGGTAGAAAGGGATGGAAGGGCGTGGTGACCCGGAGTCTGTGTGGGAAAGCACGGTGAAGGCGACCACGCCTCCTGCGCTCTTGAAACCGGAAGATTTCTCTCTCCTCAGCTTTCCAGGTTCTGGCAGTCCCTCTCTTTCTCCTCATCCTCCCTTGTCCTCCTCTTACTGCAAAATGTTTTTGACCTTTTCCTTTTTTCTCTTCCTTCCTCCTTCCTTCCTTTTTAGAATAATGGTGAAGGTGGACACTTTGCTTAATGCTTAGGTGTCCTCTATGAACAAAACATCCTGCTGCCTGCCTGCCTTCCCTTCCTTCTCTCCCCTTCCTCCTCACTGCTCCCCTCCTCCTCCCCCTCTTCCCCTTCTCCTGCCTTCTCTCTCACTTTGTTTCCTGTCTCATTTTCTTTTTTCCATTTTCCTCCCTCATTTCCTTCCCTCCCTCCCTGTCTCCCTCCATCCTATCCAATCCTTTCTTTTTTTTTGAGACAGACTCTTGTTGTGTCGCCCAGGCTGGAGTGCAGTGGCACGATCTCAGCTCACTGCAACCTCTGTCCCCTGGGTTCCAGTGATTCTCCTGCCTCAGTCTTCCGAGTAGCTGGGACTACAGGCACCAGCCACCAAACCTGGCTAATTTTTGTATTTTTAGTAGAGACAGGGTTTCACCATGTTGGCCAGGCTGGTCTCAAACTCCTGACCTCAGGTGATCCACCTGCCTTGGCCTCCCAAAGTGCTGGGATTACAGGTGTGAGCCACCGCGCCTGGCCCCAGTCCTCTCTTTTTGTCTTCTTTTCCCACATCTCAGACTCGGTTCACCCCATTTCCTGCTGAAAAGCCCCATCCCTGGCTGTCTGTGTGAACCAGAATCTAGGGGCCTCCTTCACGTTCCAGCTTCCATCCCTGAGGCTCGCCTGTCCCTGGGGAGCCCTGGTAGAGGAAGCCTGGCCCTGGTGTGTCTCCTCAGGAGTGCTCATGACGGGCACGGGCGCCCGAGACACACCAACAGAACCAACCTGTTTCCATCGCGAGAGAACAGCTCCATAATGTGTAGTATTTCATTCTAAAGAGTGCCAAACAGCTCTGAAAACCGGCCAGTTTGTCTGCACGTTGGGCCTTTCGAAACACTGATTTCACATCATCCTCGCAAGAGCCCTGCGGTGGTGTCATGCCCTCGCACCGCAGGTGAAGAAGCGTGTCTTTCAGACAGACCAAGCGATTTGCTCAAGGTCACAGGGCTCAGAAGACACAGTATTAAGCCCAAGAAGCTCACAGCGTGAGGGGAGTTAGGGGGGACAGACGCAGACAGAGATTCTTGGAAAACAGCAGCGCGTGGTCAGTACCGGGACACAGGTTCCCTCAGGTGCTAGGGGAGCCTTAAGGAGGAGTCCCCAGTATAGAGCAGAACCCGGTCTTCCAAAGGCCAGCCTGCTTTCCACCACAACCACACCAAACTGGATTATTTTGTTAAAGGTTCCCACAACTGTTAATCCTTTCTTGTTTTCTCATTCTGGCCCTCAGCACTGTGCCTTATGCATAGGAGGCATCCAATACATATCTGGCACAGTGGCTCACGCCTGTGATCCCAGCACTTTGGGAGGCTGAGCCAGGAGGATCACTTGAGCCCAGGAGTTCAAGACCAGCCTGAGCAACAGAGGGAGACCCTACCTTTATAAAAAATAAACATTTAGCTGAGCATGGTGGTGCATGCCTGGAGTCCCAGCTACTTGGGAGGCCGAGGTGGGAGGAT